TAAAAAGAATTTTTTTGTGTGTATTTGGTGTAATGAAATGTGTTTATGCGGTTTAAGGTTAAAAAAACACATTATTTTCCACATACTGTACATTATTGTCGATTTTTACAAAGCTCATCGGTCTGAAAAGCGAGGTGTGCTCTGATTGGCCAGCTATCCAGTGCATTGTGATTGGCCGAATACCTCAAGCGTGTGACAGAAATGTTACGTCCCTTACCATATTGTGATGGCATGTCCCGGCCGGAACGACGAGACAAAAACATTAAAACCCATTATAAACGAGGCATTTGTTGCATCCAGTTGGGACATAATTACGGATTATAATAACTTATACTGTCTTTTTACATGTGGCGTTGCGTATCACGCTGCGTAAACATAAAACCATGTCTGCATTTGTGATCGGAGAAACGACAAACAACAAGCTCTACTCTACACTGCTCAAAACTCACGTTTGAATCATAAGTGGCAAATTCTTTAAATATAAAAAACTTACTTACAGGCTGTGAGTCAGAAGCGCCAGACTGTCCTTGCAAAGTTGGAATTGCCCAACTTTATAGAAACAAACAGGCATTGTAGGCTACTCTCTCAGGAAACAGTCCTTGTACTCCATAAAATGCGCTGCACACATCTGAATATTTGGGTTGAACTGTTCCGGAACAGTGTTGTAAATACAACTTAACCACTGATCTCTAGTTGTGTCCTCTTTTGGAAGGCCAAACAAACTAGTTTTGCTTTGTATGACCATTTGGGCAGCGTTATGCAAATCTTCCCACATCGTGACGTAGACATGTGGGGGCGTGTTAGAATGAGCCGTTTTACGTAGGGGGGGTTGATTCTTAACTTTTATAAAGAATATCTCTTTGGATTTGAGACTTTAGTCTTTGCAACTTTACAGATCTTCTTTATGCACCAAGAGCTTGTAACACTCCAAAGAGAAAGGAAAAATTTAAATCGCATCATATGACCCCTTTAAACAATCAACACTTAGTAGATACCCCCCAATAATGTCTATTTTTGATATTAATTTGATTTGTAATCCAGTTTACACACTAAGAACAATCCTTTTCTCCATCCACTGGAACAGAACAGCCTGGTTTATTGGTAAATGGTTCAACTTGTGGCAGGTATCATGTGTCCTAAGTCTCCTAAGTGCCATCTGTACCAATCGGACAAACAGCACAAACTAAATGTTTCATCGCATTATGGGTAAACATTATAAAGAAATAAAGAAAAGGTAAGCAAGAATTCAGAAATCAGTAAAACTAAACCTCCCCTACTGTACATACTGGCTTTCTACAAAAATGCTACAGAGAAAACTGTGTGCATGTCAATACTGCATATAATAAATGTCCATTTAGATGTAACTGCCTTTGTATACACATATCCCTTAATGTAAGTGCTTTCAAAAGAAGAGTCGATTTCTATTAACAGCTCTTGACTCTTTATAATAGAAGCAACAATCAGACTGTCTGGTAACGCAGGGTCATTTTCAGCCAAATGAATGTAATAATGCAGAGATACACACACAAACACTCAAGCACAGATCGTAAGCGGCACAAAAGTATGCTGCACTCACATCAGCCTGGGCATCGGGTACACAAACTCAACAAAAATCCATTTGGCCCCACAGAAGTCCAGAGTACTCATCCCCTATCTGTACAAGCACAGTCATCCATAGTCTGCTCCAGCCAAGCCATGCTGAAAGCACAGACAATTACTACACTTAATCCAATCAAATGAGATGCTTTTGGGATTAGCAGCATCCGCACATATAATCTAATTTGTGTAAAGAATGGATGAGCAGCTCAGGCCGTGGGTTTGGAGCAGCGGCTGCTGTTAATGCTGCTGATATAAGGTAAAACGAGGGTTGTGACTGACTGGGAATTATTAGGGTCTAAGCTAATGGCTAAAGCTAAACTGGTAAAACACTGCCAGCTAATGCCCAGATTAATGAGGGAATTGACGCTGAGCACAGATAAAGTACAAACTGGGGTTGATTGAGATCCACCAAAAAATCTCTCTCTATATATGTCTATATATCTTCTCTCTCTATAGTTTAATATGGTTAATCAGCTGGCTTGTTGGGCTGAGGTCAACCAGGTAAAATAAATGATGATTGCTTTAAAACTGAATGGAATCCAGCTTTCCCAACAATTTAATTTATTGATATACTAATAAATGTGATATTTGATCAAATAAAAGTGTAAATAATATCATGCAGAATGACTGTAATGCCCAGGGGTGCACATAAGTGGTCCGCAGGTCCGCATGCGTGACCAAAATAAGAAATGTGCTGTGTAAATGAGTTCAGAGCGTGCGTTTGCGTACCGACATAGGCTGTGTTTCCAAAAATCATCGTAAGCCAAAGTTCATCGTAGACCCATTGCCACCTATGGAGCTACGATCAATTTAGGTTTACAATGCTTTTGTATAATACTTACTTGCCGGCAACCCGCCAAAATAAAAGCCTGCTGATTTTAAGTTTGAAAATGAAAAATGAAAATAATTCAAATTGAAAATAATAATTAAGGTTCAAATTAAATTAATAATAATAATAAAAAAATATTAGCATTTTATTTTTAAGTTTACTATAAAATAATTGCATTAGTATTTAGTATTTAATACTCCCTTTTTATTTTAAAATAAAATAGTATTATTACACTTTATAATTTAGTTTATTATTTTATTTAAAAAAAATAAAAGTGTAATAATATTATCACTATTATTAATTTATTTTTTATAGTTATATTTGATGGGTCACACCATGTGCCGCCGTGTGAGGACCAAACCAAATCTCCAGGTTCTCATATGAGAACCAGACTGAAAAACGTATGTGCACCCCTGGCAATGCCACATGAATCTGTTTGTAGACATTGCTGGAATCCATAAGATTCAAAAGCACCAAATATAAATGTTTAATAGGAGCCAAGATAAATGTTCACTGGACAAGAGAATCCAAATGTTTCATTTTGAGTCCCGCTTGGAGAGTGTGCTTCACTGGCAGTCTATCATGACTGCTGTTTGCACTGGGAAAAAAAGCTATTAATTGTTTATTGGACAGTGGGCTTTCGATCGATGCATTCTTGTCCTGCCTGGAAGCCTGACTTCTCTATATGATTTACATTTAGTCCTACAGCAGACTCCCATCTCACAATACTTCAATTAATGCCCACTTTCAAGATTTAAACTAGAAAAGAAAATAGGAATAAACAGCTAGACCTGAAATTTGTCACGTCAGTCTATTTCTAGTACCACTACCAAACTGTTATTGTTCTGCAAATTGTGAGCATAACAGTAAGTGTATTACATTTATGGTAAAATAAAGTACAGCGAAAGTTTCCAAATCAGAAATTTGCATAGAAATGAGCAAAAACTCAAGAGCAGAGCACAGCTGCAGTCTGTTTAAAGTGAGGGATATTTATGGGATAAGGGAAAGAGAAGATGCATGAAGAAGCATCTCCGAGAAAGAGGCAGATGACAGATTGGACTGCAAAGCTCTGTCGGTTTTCACTGACAAGAGAGGCATGTCAAAAGTGACCTCAATAACCAGTCTGCCAAACAGACACACAAACTTTCAGGCCACACACACACACACACACGTCATTGTTCACTGTGCAGCAAATTATGCAGCACGGACATGAGGAAATGCAAAATCGCACATTTACATATGGTGCTATTCCATAGGAATTAGCACACAGAATGCAAACACATGCAAAAATATCTATACTAAGTCTCAACTGCCATATTCATTCAGCCACTCATACAGCAACATATCCATTCACATCCAGTAAAGTTTTAAAATAGGTCAGAACCAACTGCCAACTTTTTATTGTCTCCAATAACACATGGTTCCATGACTGTAACAACTGATCTCCAGTCAAGACAGTGACTGAAAGATTAAAGATGACATTTGAATGCTATTTTTAAGATCATTTAACTAGTTTAAAACAATAGTTCTCAACCAGGAAGCATTTCCAAGTGGGCTGCAAAAACGCTTAAAGGGGTCATATGATGCTGCTAAAAAGAACAGTATTTTGTGTATTTGGTGTAATGAAATGTGTTTATGTGGTTTAAGGTTAAAAAAACACATTATTTTCCACATACTGTACATTATTGTTTCTCCTCTATACCCCGCCTTTCTGAAACGCGTCGATTTTTACAAAGCTCATCGGTTTGAAAAAGCGAGGTGTGCTGTGATTGGCCAGCTATCCAGTGCGTTGTGATTGGCCGAATACCTCAAGCGTGAGACGGAAATGTTACGCCCCTTACCACATTGTGATGACGCCCTTCTTTATAAATAAAAGTTACGCCTTCTTTCTTTGTGTGGACATTTGGGCATCTTCCCACAGAGCGACGTAGATATGTGGGGGCGTGTTAGAACGAGCCGTTTTAGGTAGGCGTGGCTGACTCTTAACTTTTATAAAGAATATCTCTTTGGATTTGAGACTTTAGTCTTTGCAACTTTACAGATCTTCTTTATGCACCAAGAGCTTGTAACAGTCCAAAGAGAAAGGAAAAATTGAAATCGCATCATATGACCCCTTTAAAATGAGTAAAAATGAGTCACAAGTTAAAAGAAAAAAAATCAAGACATTTTAATTTGTTCTTTCAGCAAATGTAATTTTAAATTAAATTGTTAAAATATTATTTTTTCTAGTTCTCTCAGGCTCTAAAATATTTTATTTGGCATAAATTGGCAGTAAACTCATTAGTCATAAAAAATTGTTCAGCTTGTAAAACTAAAATGTTATTATTTATAAGTCTTTTATTGAATTACTTTAACATATTGTCACTCCTAGTTTCTGTAATATGCCTATATATTTGAAAACAAGCAGCTATGTCATTACAGAAAAAGCTTTCATTGCAGTCAAAAAGGTTGAGAACCACTGGTTTAAAACTATCCAAACACACAGATCCTCTATAGAGAAGGTTCTTCTAGATGACATTAGTGGTGTAGAAATGAAACACTTGGAATAAGATGGAAAATTGTTGTTGTTTACCTGTCGTTGTCCACTAGTCTGAAGCCTGGTAGGATGTGTCTGAAACTGCTGTTCCTGTCCAGTTTAGGCTGACTCTTAGTCCGCTTTATTGAGCCCTTTAACCTGCGACTCAAAAACCCCTAATGAGGAAATGACAGAGAATAGGACAGACATTATAATAATAACAGGCAGATTCATATTGATCTTTCACCACCATTTCATAAATTCACTCGTTAATTATCCCACATTATACACCTTATATTTTTCTGTGAAAGCACCTGTCACATTTTTGCAGCTCAAAACTCAACTTCCTTTAGGCACCAGTTATCATGGAGACAGCAGGTTGGCATCAAGGGCATGGAAAGGAAAGGGAGGCATAAAGTGAGAAAGAGTGAAAAAGAAAACAATTTTAAAGCGAGAACGTGAAGGATTGTAAGAAAAGAAAGAGTCAAGGACAAAAAGATTGTAGAGATAAAAAGCGAGAATGTGAGAAAGTGAGAAATGCAACGGAGAAAGAATGAGAAAAGGTGTGGAAAGAGTTTCTGGAGGAAAAGAGAGGTGAGGCAGCAGACATGAAGTTTCTGACAAGAAAGTGTTAGTAAACAAACAGAAAGCAGGCCGTTCCCCCCTACCGATTAACACATCTGCATATTCTACATAATTAAAGCACCCTACTGATTACTATTCACAATATATGCAAATGATTACACACAGACATCTCTTAATCACAGAGCAATCAGTCAGAGTATTGCAGCCTACCGTTCGCTAGAAAAGGAAATCAAATCAGAAGAGGACTGAGAAAGACAATGACAAGAAGACATCTGAATAATAAACAAGCTCCCCTGTCCAAACATTACATGAATTGCAAAAAATATTGATGCAGTAAGCTTCAAAGCTGGCTTTAAAGAAGGTTATGAGTTTGTAATTTCATGTTGCCAGGTTGTCAAGTGCTCTGAATACCGTAGAGTCGAAAGTAAACTGATAATCAGTTTGACTGGTATTTCCTAAATTAATTGATTTTCAGTTTATTAGTATTAGTTATAAATGACTAGAATAAATGGCAGTATTTTGGTGGCTCTATGAAGAACAGCAGTTTAGAGCCCTTTTTTTTTTTGACTTGGACATAATCTTACACTACCATTCAAAGTTTGGGCTCAGTAAGACTTTTTAATGTTTTACATGTACATAAAGAAGTATCTTATGCTCACCAAGGCTGCATTTATTTGATCAAAAATACAGCAAAAACCATAATACTGTAAAATATTGTTACAATTTACAATAACTGTTTTCTATGTTAATATGTTTAAACGTAATTTATTCCTGTAACAGCAAAGCTAAACTTTCAGCAGCCATCACTTCAGTTTTCAGTGTCACAGAATGCTTCACAGTCTGATTTGGTGCTCAACATTTCTTATTATTTTTAATGTTGAAAACGCTTGTGCATCCTTAACTTTTTTTTTTAGGATTCTTTGAAAAGAAAATCATTTATTTCAAATAGAAATCTTTTGTAACAATGTAAATGTCTTTACTGCCACTTTTGATCAATTTAATGCATCCTTGCTGAATAAAAGTATCCATTCAACTTAACAAGCAGCACATTATTGTATGTTCTTATGTTATGTTCTTATAATGCATATGTTGTGATAGCAAACATCAGATTAAAAATGTCTCTGTTGTCATTAACATTATTTAAAAACAAAAAAACAAACAAAAAAACGCTTCACAGACCATGTCAATCAAACAGAGCTCAACAGCAAGGAAGCACAATCATGTGGATCAAAACAATATTCTTTGTTAAACATTAAATTATGGTTTTAAATGAACCATACTGAAATCACAATTACTTTCCAGGAGAATGTCATATGATGACAGAAATGTGTTGATACAGGGAAAGAATGTGTGCATTCCTGCTAAACATTCTTCCCCTTTTCAGTATTTACAAAAACTGCTCTCTTGCTCTTTTATTGCAAAGAGCCATTCACACCAAGAACGATAACTATAACTACAAGGTTTAAATAATTGCTCTAATTCTATGAGAATAGTAAAGTCCACAACACAACAATAACGACACAGAGCAACAATATTGTTGCAATCACTTTCAGAACTTTTCTCCAGCTGATGAATGATAAAAACATTGATAGCCAATCAGAATCCACCTGACTTAATGAGCTTGAGCAATTAAAGCAGCAAATTAAATAACTGCAACACACTCTTATAACAAACAGAACATTATCGTCCTTGGTGTGGACGCCAATAAAGTTATTGTTATAGTTATCTTTCTTGGTGTAAACGGACCTTGGTGTAAACAATTTTTTGCACACAATATCACACGTACACATGCAGTGATAAATCAGATTGAATGAAAAATAATCGAATCGGTTATCAAAACAGTGTTCATTGCAGCCCTAGTAAATAATTCAGTCATGGTATGCAATGTCAAACAGTGTTAATAAGCAACTATCGAGCAGGTCTGTCAAACAGGTCATGGATGTTGGCAGTCAAAAGCCAGGGCCGGATCGTGGTCCCATGAGGCCCTTGGGCACACATATTTGCAGGACTCCGTCACCCTTAGTTCTACGTTAAACCACAAGGATGCTTTGACTAAAATTATGAAGCACATTTCACCTTTTCTTAATGTGAAAGCAGATGAGAAAGCCTGGGTTAGGTGCAAGCAGCAGAAATTAAATAAAGCCTATATATCAAAAACCTGCCAGGAGCAAATCAATGGAAAATGACCTGAAATATTTACCTAAAGCCATTTTTTAAAATAATAATAGCTTATTCATATGATTATATCTAAATAATACTGTATAACTTTAAATAGATTTCCCAATGCCTTGTCAGTTCAGTCAACTGCATATGTCAGGCATCCAGTAAAGTGTCAGATACAGTTTAACACAAAACAAACCTTAGGCTGAGTAACTAATCGATTAAAGAAAAAAAAAACACCAGAAAACTTTGCTGAAAACGGTGTGCTTGTGCTTTTCCCACACTCCATCTTAACCACACACACAGCACCGATTAATTCACAGAGTGGGTTTTCTACTGCATTCACAAAACAAAACTATTCATCCATCTTTCTTGACATGTGCATTAATTATATCACCATTTCTTTCATATAAGAATCTTCAAGGTCATTCAATACATCTGTCCATCTGGTATTGATGGTGTTATTCATGCACAGAGAATAAGAGTTCAGAAAGGAGGATAAAAGTAGGATAGAGAGGGAGAGGGGAGAAAAATTGCATGAGATCCTGATTCCGAAAGGTACAGTACCATTGCCTACCAGCGGGGGGTGCAGGGGGATTATCTTTACTTCCCTAATTGTCCATATAGACTGACCTAACAATCAAGCTATGTGGCATCTTCCATCATTCATCCAAAACAATGTCATCTAAGGCTTCCTTTGTGTGCATTGAACCTGTTCAAACATGTACAGCACTGAGAAGATTTGTGAAGGAACTTAAGTGTTCTCAGATCATGTTTTAACTTCGTAGGAGATATTTGCAAACTATGCACTAGGCTAGACAAGTAATTGGGCATGAATCTGCAGAAGCTCAGAGGTCAAGTGGCCCTCGAGTCACCTCAGAGATCTCATTTAAATGTAATTACACCTACATTCAGTAAATGCTAAGCAGCAAAAACACATAAAAAGCCCACATGCACTGCATTTTATACAGAGGGTGAAACTACTGAATACCACCTGCTGTTGACTGCTAATTATTTACTTCCGCAACTGGCACATAATGTGAGCTTCAATTTGAAACGATTGCTAACAGACTGCTTTTCAATCATGAGAAGTTTTTTCATCCCTTGCTAATAGAGCTCATGCTCATAAACATATCATTACAACTTCATACCAATTATAGTGAGCATTCGAACGTTGTTAAATCTTCCCTGATGCCCATCAATAAAACATTCTCTTCAAATGGAGCTTGTTCGGGATTCATTTGTATGTAATATCCTGATGTATAATCTAGCCTATAAATGTAGCTTTGATCCAGACTTCAACTTAATACTTAAAATATTAGGCTTGGTATGTGGTTTTGGGCTGGATCACCATCTTGAGTTTCAGCTGCTTGGTTATTAGGCTTAACATTATGTTGCACTGGATTTTTGCTTTTTAATTACTTAAAATATTAATAAAACACCACCACTGCTCACATTTATAGCCTCAAGTATGAAATTAGCATTTGACAAAATGACTTGCAAGCTAACGTTTATTAGTACTGCAGAATTTTAATACTAAAGATCTGAAGTAGTAGCAGCAATAAAGATAAGATACATATGGGCACAGTATGCATCACATCTGGATTCCAGACTGTGTTTGATCAGACACACATATAACACTCACTGTGACCCTGAAGGGTGTAGTAGTAGTGGCAGTGGGCTCCATTGTAGGTGGGGCTTTGTCAGGGGTGGAGCCTGGCATGCTACGTCTCCGCCCTGTTTTCTCAGGTGGAGAGTCTGTGAGACAAGAGAGACGGAGAAATTGATTTATTAACAAAATGACTGTTCCATATATAGAAGTTTCTGCACCGTTATATATATACAGTATATACACACAAACACACAGAGTATAGACATTTACAGACATTTTTTAAATTGTAAAACGCAACTGAAAAGATGTTTTTTAGAGATAGTTTTATAATAGCCAAGAATAAACCCACATGCACAAATCCCAGCATGTTGTCCAAGTGTGGATGTAGACTGTGAGACTCTCACAGCATGTAATCAAATAGGCAGATACCACATAAACAATCACCATGCCAACACATCCATTCAGTGACTGATCTTCCACTCATAATGTAAGAGTTGTATGTCATAAATGTAGGGATGCACCGAAATGAAAATTCTTGGCCGAAGCCGAACAAAATGAAACACTGGGCCGAATACCGAACACAGTTCTTTTGCATTTTTTCCCCCATTTTGCCATTTTTTTTCACCATTGCATAAATGAAAAAGCCAAAATGTGCTTTAAAAATGTTTACTTAACACTGAACATTTTTTTTTACATTCTAGCAGACATTATACCAATAAAACACAATTTAACTTCAAAATGTATAATTTAGTAAAATAATATTTTTTGGCCATTTTTGAGATCCCCTTCTTTTTTACTGTACAAATAAATGCAGCCTTGCTGAGCAGAGAAGACTTTTAAAACATTAGAAAATATTACAGATCCCAGTCTGAACACTATGTGTGAATGCTATAATAAATGTATTAATAGAGCTGTTGTAATTATTATTATCCTTATCATTGTCTTTTTTATTTTATTTTACAGAACAACAGTAACATTACAATAATAACATTTATTAATGTTGATGGAGTTCTTGCTTTTTTTTCCAGCTTTTATTTTGGCAGAAACCCGCCGGAAGACCTCAGTGCTTCTTTTTGTTGACAACAGTAGATTTATAAATGATTCTCATTATGAATTTGGGAAGATGTTTGTTGCACGTATCACATTGCCACATGCATGCCTTGTAAAAATTCATAAAAATGTTACTGAGCAACTGACGAATAACTCCATTTCAGTGCAGATTTTCCTCGCACTTTGGACTTTGAACCCTGGCGTCGCGAGCTCATGCTCAATTTATGCATGTATTAGAAAACATAACATTCAGCAGTTGAATTGTTTAAGGGCATTTCGCGATTTTAATCATCATACAGTAACCAGCAACAACCACCCCTTCCATTTCTCATCGAAGACATGTGATGCAGTACTAAACAGTCTCTCACTGTTGCTGCTTGTAATGATTTTTGCATCTTTCTCGGAAAGTTTAAATGCTTCCACATTGCCGACGTGTTTGTTGCATTAGCGTGCGCCTCTATTTGATCGTGTCATGTCATTGTTCGGTACAATTTATTTGGTCTTTCTCTTATTCAACACCGAAAGAGCTTTTGTTGCAATTTTCGGCCAAATTATTTTGGTTGCCAAACATTCGGTGCATCCCTACATAGATGTCCTAAATTATAGCCCATTCATAAAGTCATCAAATCTCTACCTCAATGTGCCCTCAGTATACAAAGCTCTTAAATCCTCCCACTGTTCCTCACTGCCCTTCAGAATTCACATGCTGGGAAAAAGTGAAGCCTGACTGACTGCCTCACTCAATCAGTATAGGTACATAGATCTAGAAACAGATTATGTTAAGTGCTCCGCTCTGATCTCACTATCACACACTGATCCCCTCCAAAACACTGCCTGAGCAAAATCTTCAGTCAGAACTCAATTGGGGGGGTGGGGGACAGGAGTATGAATTCTTTTCAAGCATCGTTTCACCCAATTTCCCAAATTTCAACCATCTGGTATGTTGTGTGGACTGGGAAATAACGTGGACATAAGCTTTCTTCAAGTGCAAGATTGTACTGTAAGTTTACATTTATATGGAAAGTATTCATTACATTATTTATTAGACCATTTGAAATAATTTTCAGCTTTTTTTGCAGTTCACTTACAGTACATATTAATAGTGTGATTGTAATACATTGTAATACATAAAATTGTGTACAATCATACTACTTTGTACAAATATTCCATGAAGAATTGAAGGCCCAAAACAAAGTATTACACAAAAGTCATTTAAATCACATTAGACGAACTTTAGCATGTGACACTGCAGGACAATTCAGGAAAACTGCACACTAATGTAAACAGAATTTTGAAATGAAAACAAAAAACTTTTCTAGAACAGCGGTCAATGAATCAATAAGTTTGCCTATATTATTATCTATGAAATAAAAAGTTGCTCTGTGTATTTTTGCCGTAAATAATTATAACTGAATAAAGTGGTAAAGTGTTACCAAAATCTCTATAGTGAGCAGTGCCCTGTTAGCTACTTGGTATTATTTCACAAAAAAACGAAACTAGGATGTTACACAGGAAAGCTGCAGCCGGATGTCTGGTTACCCTAGTATGCCTAAATACATATTCTCTCAGATCAAGATCGTTTTCAAAACAGATTATAAAATGCTAAACACAAAAATGAATGGCAAAGAAGCAGGTGGAAGTGCAGAGGTCTGATTATCCTGCTAAAAACCCTTTCAACAGCGGATTATTAAACTTCAATCAAGTCAACCGGTTTCCATCAAGCCCGGCGGTGATGTGTAATGAGAATTCAACAGTGAGGAGCCGTGTAGTTTGATCTGGGAGAGATGGCTTTCACTTTCTCTCAGTGTGTGAGTGTCTGCTTGTTAAAGATAGAAGATGTGAAGGAACGCAGCTGTGAGAGAGTGAGAGCGAGCGTCTGCTTGAACTGAAATCAAAAAAATTAAGTCCTTGTGGCTACTATGTGTGTGGTTCTAGATTAGCGTGGCGATCACTGTGGTTTCATTTAGTCCTGCTACAAGTGTCAACCACCTGTATGCTCAGGCAGAGAAAAATAAAAGAAAGATGCACAAATATACCAACAAACACACACAGGTCTTTATAAAGACAACATTTACTTATCTGTAATCTATAACATTGATTTATTTACCAACTACATGTCAGATGTTTTTGGTTTAGGACTGATTACACTGCATATGTGCATCAAACAGGGCTGCTAATTTTCATCATAAAAGATTGTTAAAGGTAAAATTAATTCATTAAACAATTACATTTCATTAAAAGTATTTGACAAAAATGACAAAAGGATTTTTTTTTAAATATACATTTAAAATATGCATTTTGGAATTTATAATATGATTATAATTCTTATTTATGTATTAATTTATTTGCTTGTTTGTTTCCCACAAAGTATTTGACAAAATATGGCACAAAATTATTTTTAAATATACATTTTAGAATTTAAAATATGATTATATTATTTTTTCACTATTTAAATAGAAATATTCTAAATTTAAATTGAATTAAACATTCTTTTTTATTTTGCCATGGTGCCATGTCGAGAAAATGAATTCATTAAACTTCATTAAAATTATTTGGCAAAAATATGACAAAAGGATTTTTTAAATATACATTTAAATACAAATTTTGAATTTATGATATGATTACAATGTTTGTTTATTTATTTATTTATATTACCATGAAGTATTTGACAAAACATGGCACAAATATTTTTAAATACACGTTTTAGAATTTAAAATATGATTATATTAATTTATTCCACTATTTAAATAGAAAATTTTTACCATGGTGCCATGTCAAGAAAAACTGTACCACGGTCATTTTCAGTGACATATTAGTCAAAAAAAAAAGGAATACATTTCTGCTTTATTGATGTACAAAGTTTTACTTTTACTTCAATAAAAAATAAAAGTCCTTCACCAGAGGTCGAGTTTTTCAGTCAGAGATGTCAAACAGCAATTTATTTCATTTATCCTTAGATGCCGATAAAAACGTGTTTGCTGTTGAATTTCTTTTGTTGTCTAAACTAAATTACAACCAGCGTCATGATGTAACCTCTGAAGAACAGTGCGATAAGGCAAGAAGATATGACCACACACACACACACACACACACACACACCAACACCTGCATAACTGTCTCTCTCATTGAGCTGAACATGTGTTTCCATTAGACCCGGCTGTCCTATCCGACACCATGATTGACAGGTACCTGCCCAGTGGTCATACAGGACAATCGCCTTGCTCTGCTGTTCCCATAGCAACCACATCTCAGACCTGCTGAGAATTCAGCCAGTCTTAGAATACTCTCTTACAGAAGCAAGACCAACTATCGACGCACACGGGTCAGAAAGCACACTTCCTGAGCTGAGGGCTGGGACACAATGTTTCCAGGTTTTCCTGTAGAGGACATTCCAGAGTGAGAGTGAAGTTACGGAACATGCCTCATGATCGAACACACATAATGCCACAAAACCTGACTCCATCAAGAACTGAAACACACCGTTACATGCCGACAAACTGGATTATTGTACTCATAATTGTAAAGTCCAAACCTTGGAAAATGTCCTCACAAATGTATTGACACGTGTAAACGAGTTATAAGATCCTTTCATGTGATCTTCACCATTTTAAATCATCATTTTATGTTCTCTCTCTCTTGAAAAATTATTTTTGATCAAAAATACAGTGAAACAAGTAATATTGTGAAATATAATACTATTTGGAATAACTAAATAATACATGTATGTATTATATATAATAATGTATATCTATTTTATAATGAAATAGTCACATTATAAATGTCTTTATTGCTTTGATGAATTTAATGTATCATTGCTAAATAAAAATATTAATTTCTATTAAAACAACAACAACAATTGCACTCATCCCAGACTTTTGAAAGGTAGTCTGTCCATGATTAGGAATTAGAAATAAGCAAACATAAGAACACTCACAGTTTGCTGTACTCGCTTTGCAGTAGCAACTTTATGTATAACATATAGTATGATTTTTGGTATTGTATGAAGCATAACTGTTATGTTTAATGTTTTCTTTAAAATAGACCATAATTTATTTGTCACATATATATATATTTTTTTCTTATTTATCTTCCTAAT